AATTAATCGAAATTATTAAATAGAACAGTTATAACGTTTTCATCTCATTATGGAATCGCATATCTTAATTATAGCTGATATATTGTTTAAAAATCAACATATATCATCCTTAATATTTCAGAACAATTTTCAATTCTTTATGATCTGTAAATTAAGTTACAGTTATAAGTTGATGATGAAATTATGTAGATAGCGGGAAAATTTGTTAATTTGTTGGTTATGAATCTAGCTTATAATTCTGGAATTGCTTCCAAAATAAAAATCAAAGTTACAAACAAAAAAATTTTTACGTAATAGTACTTAGGTTGTAAGTACTTATGTTGTCTTTATTTTATACCAATAAAATATATGTTGTTTTATATTTCACCCAATTATATAATTTACAAAATAGTTTTTGATAAATTAATTTACATTATAATCTGTTGCGAGAAATATAAAAGATTAGATTTGAAAAAAGTTAACAATTTTGATACTTATCAAGATCTGTACAAAAATTAGAAACTTATTTTTATAACAATTATATATATATCCACAGTACATAAAAAAGAAATCTCAATTTCTATAGTTTGCTGGTACACAACTGCAATTCTTTCTCCATAGGAAGTACTGCGAACTGGATGTCAAGGATGTCGACTTCCATACTGATTTCCGATCTTTGTCGATTAGGAAAGCTCTGACACCTACAATTAAATTGAAATATTAATCCAAGAAGAGAAGATTTGTAAAACACGCTAAATTCTATCCTAATTATTACCTTCACAGAAATTACCGTATTTGGCCAGAGCAGTACAAGCCAATCTAAACTTAATCTTCAAACAATCCGTTAAGGATTTTTCTTTTCCTTCATCGATCGCACTTTTAGGCCCAGTTTCACAACTAACGGTTAATTCTTAACCGAAGTTTGCTAAATTCTATCCTAATTATTACCTTCACAGAAATTACCGTATTTGGCCAGAGCAGTACAAGCCAATCTAAACTTAATCTTCAAACAATCCGTTAAGGATTTTTCTTTTCCTTCATCGATCGCACTTTTTAGGCCCAGTTTCACAACTGACGGTTAATTCTTAACTGAGGTTCAACTCATTCATTATCTCTTTTCAATTCTAGAATTGGA